TTTTTATACCTTGTGATATGGCTACCACAATACTAACATGATTATATTCTGACAAAATAAAATAAAATGAAGCCAAGAGGCTTCATAAGTCAAAGATATTATAAGTGTTTTTTATCCAATTACAATTACATATAAAAATGTACTACACAAAATAACACCCATATATATAACCCTAACTTATAAAGAATTGAAAGAAATTGAAAATAATTAATCATTAAGTTATTCAATACATATAGATTAACATATATATATATATATATATATATATATACACACGTATATATATATATATACATACATGAGGATTGACATGAACAAAAACGCCAAAATTTATATCATAAGTACTAAAACCCATAATCAATTGAGGATCCATATACACAATAAAATGATAAACAAACAGAATATAATACAATCAATATATTCAAGTTCAAGGAAAGAGCTTCAATATCACTAACCACCGGCCTTAACTTGCAACTGGAGCGATACGTTTCCGATCGCACGTAACGCCAATTTAACGGTACGCTGATTGTCGCTTAACCTAGTCTTACTTACTAGAGAAAATATTACATTTCTTCTATTATTTTATGATAAAGCTTAGATTTACATTTAAATGAATATGATTTTATTAAAATATCATCGCACAGCTTCACACTTGAGATGAAGAAAACTCCCTCTCAAATATAGAGTATGAGTGTTAGTCTATGTCAATCATGACTTCATCCTTAGCTATTATACGTATATAAAGTTATAAAGTACTGGCATTGCCCGCGGCTCCGCCCGCGTCAGATGACCAAAAACCAAATTCTTAGGTTTTACATATTAGTATACTCTTACATTGCAGTTTTGTATTTTTTCTCAGAAATGAGATATTTTCCCCGCGGTAAAAAGTATCCTATATGTTGACTCGGATAACCAGCTGTCATCATACCAAATTTCTTTAAAATCCCTCCAGTGGTTTTTCCGTGATGCGGTAACAGACAGACAGACAGAGAGACAAAATTCTAAAATTTATATTCGGCCTCTGTATCGATAATAATGTCTATTTCAATAAGATTTTCCAAAAAATATTTACATGGTCAAAATGTAAGTGGTGGTTAGTTTTTGATACTTTAATCAATCTACATAAAAACTTCTTATTGAATCTAATTCTTATTATTAATAAATAGGGGGTGGGGGAAGGAGAGTGAAAAATACTTTACGACCTCTTCTCATACCTACCAAATATAGAAATAAAAATTCATTAAAATCGGTCGATCCGTTTTGGATGCGTGCAACCACATATACCGTGACACGAGATATTTATGTATTAGGTAAAATATATAACGTAGCAGAACTGTGTTATGTTGAAAATGTAGAGTCATTTTAAAATAATGACGAAATAACGTTTATTTATATATCGGATTCATCTTACTTATTTTTTTTTGCATAAGACTAATATTCCACGGGAACCATTTTCAAAACCACCAAAAAAATCTTATGAAATAGTCCGTTGATCGATCTGATTTGGCTATAAAACAAAAAAAATTTTTAATAATATACAAACTTTTTCCGCAAATTATTTTAATATCAATTTGATATTTACTGCTAAGCCAAAAAAGATATTTGCATATTAAAACTTTTAACTATACAAAAAAAAACTTGTTAGAATGATGTCTTACAACATTTATAAGCGTTACACACCTGCGTTTAGACTTCCTGCTAAAATAAGGGTGACCGCGATAGGCTTTCATTTTCTACAAAAAACCGTTTCCGTTAACTTTTTAGGATACTTAAGTATCGTTTTCCGGTTGATTACATCAATACGCGTGAGAACTGACGAGAAAAAAGTAATTAAATAGTTGATATTATCTAAATCTCAGTAATATAAGTTCCTCGAAGTTTTAAATTGTAACAATCGAGTAATAAACGTGTGTGATTAAAGTGTGATTAAGTTTTTATACTAGTATTTCCCGCTGATAAATTGTTATGTTTAAAGAGAGTATTAATATTTTAACTTTTTTTACTATTACATAAAACAATAATATTGCTTAAATAAGTAATTAATATTTTTCTTTTTTTTTCTTTATAGTTACACATAATATAATAATGGCAACACTAAATAATATTATTAATTAATATTGTTTTTAAATTGTAATATTTATAATAATAACATTTAAAATTAAATAAATAATATTGCCATATTTAATAATAATACTAATAAAAAAAATTAAATGATTAGAATTAAAATCAACAAATATTCTAAGGTACTTTGGTGGCATTTTTTGAATTTTTGAAATTATTTTATAAAATTGTGGGTAGGCACTATCTGTAACAAGTATACATATGTATGTATAGCGACTTTGAGACGTCTAAACCTTTAGTCTTTCCCGTGACCATGATTACTGTAAAGCATTCAAAACATCGGGAACCAAAAATCAAAATTAATCCGCGAAATAATCAGAAAACTTAAACTTTTATTTAAAATTTAAAGAGACTTTCTAAAAGTCAGCAAGATTTGGCCAACATGTTTTACTAAATAACTAAATATAAAAAAATGAAAATTTTAAACGTATAAAAAATATGCTTAAAATTTTAAAATAATTTTTTATTCAGTTTGCTTAATATAAGCTAACCGATTTACGATATTATATGGAAATTAACACCGATTAATTTCCATAAAACTACTCATCTCTTGGTTATCCGGGTCAACATATAGGATACTTTTTATCGCGGGAAAATATCTCATTTCTGAGAAAAACTGCAATGTAAGAATATACTAATATGTAAAATCTAAGAGATTGGTTTTTGGTCATCTGAACGCGGGCAGAGCCGCGGGCAATGCTAGTACTTAATAATTGCCAAAAAACTATCTAAAAGGAATTACTAAGTATATATTGTAAAAATTTTCTTATACATATATGTCCATTCATGTCCTAGTGAGTAAACAAGTTTTCTATTTTTAGAACAGTTGTGTAATTGAGATGTTTCTTTCGCTACTTTTTTTTATTTATCACTTAGCCAGCTCTGAAGTATTATTTAACTGAAGTAGTGCTTTGTTTCAAATTCAATCCACTGTCGAATGATTGCAAGTGAATTAAAAATTGATTATATTTCAAATGGAGTGACAGACAGACAAACGAATTAGGTCAATTAATGATTTGTTGGTGTAACCGGACCGACTTACCCTCAACTCCGCCCATTAATGTTTTTATGATAATTTACTGCTCTCACCGGACGTCTAAAGGCAGTTTATCCACTGTATACTCTTATCTCGAGATATTCTATATCTAAAGCTTATGAGCATATCTAATATATATATATATATATATATATATATATATATATATATATAATTCCTCATATATACATATATTCTTAAATTAATTATAAATGTGTAATATATTTATATCATATATTAGGTTAATTTATTTAACGAAGCTATTTATTCCGCGTAATCTGCAGACGAAGAGACGGCTCTTATGAAATCAAAATAATAAATAATTTACTCATATACATACATAATATGCTAATTTATTCGTATGTAAATGTGTTTTATGCACTCTTCAAAGATTATGTTATTTTCATTACATCCGGTCTTTACAGTTTAATATATATTATTCTTTACACTACAAATTATCTAATATGACTCTATCATATATATATAATCGCAAATGAAATCGTAGTAATATAGCAAATTGATAAAAATACGGATAAAATTAGATTATACTCGAATTATATATTTTTTTGTATTAGAATACATAAGAAAAACCGCGAATATGTAAATAGTGACATAAAATTATATATTACCACGGTAATTAACATTACCGTGATATTACGGCCTGCATACATAAAATACATTGTCTTCTTCGTTCAATATAACCTACATTTAAATTTCACTTTATAAGTGAGGTACGAGTAACGACCCTATGTTTAGGAGTGTTGTTGACATAAAATTAAGGGACTGTTCTAAAATGATCTTACTCTTAGTTTTGTTCTCTAACATTTTCTGATTAAGCTAATAATAAACTTTAAATCTTGTTTACAAATTTTTTTTTGTGAATTTTATAGTATAAAGGCGTTTATTAAAAATATTATGAGAAGAAATGAAATATGTATAAATATATAATTTATGTTTGCATTTTTACATAATCATTTGAAATTTGAACAAACAAGAGAAAATATCACTCGGCCATCACTTGGCAGGTTGTTTTAAAGTCGTTATCCACCAAATTAAATATGCTATGTTATCGTCATAAAATATATGTATTTTTTGATTTTTTTATTAAATTGTTGTGTAAATTTATTCTATTTCATTTAGTAGAATATATTTGTAATTTTTATATTATTTAAAAAAATATAAACAATACTAAAATCAAATTAAAATGTCTTACTTCATATGTTTTATGTGTTATTGTTTTTTTAACTAGTACATTTTGACAGAATTTTATAGCTTGAGCGTGGCTTCGCATTCGTCACTAATGGAGAACATCTTCAAGAGGAGTTCCGCTCGCGAATTCCACGTCGTTGTCTGACACACTTCCGAAGCTTTTACGCAACATAGAAAGGATGTATCGATATTGAGTAATATATAATATGATTATTTATATTCTAAATATTATTTATTTTATGCCGTGCTTGCGAATACTTTTTTTTTATTTTTAGTAGAAAAAATTCGCAATTTTGATTATTTTGATAACTTTCGCGATGTACCCGATTCATATATTAATATTTTAGTGTACACAAAATTTGTTTTTTTTTTCATTAGTCCCAAAACTAAGCTACCATTAATATTCTATTTAACAACAATAATAGTAATTTATAATATTCACTCAATAAATATTAAGTTAAAGTGGCATAACTAATCGACTAACTTTCACTATAACACATTTATAAAATATTATAAAAATGTTTCAAAACTCGAAAACATTTAACCAATTGACCCTAATCACTTTTTATTTTCAACTTTAAAAGAACAATATTCAAAGAAGTTTATATATATTTAAAATAAAACATTAACATACCCAAAAGACGATCCTCATTCTAACGACTGCCTGGATTTAAAAAGTAAACTGTCACCTGTCACTGTCACAGCACAAGCGCGGGCGCGCGCGTACCACTAAGAACTGACGCGATAGAGTGCCCTCCCCGCCAAAGAAAGTCAACCTTCACATTCGTTATGTAAAGAGAGGTCTAATGCCCATCGAGAGGGAAATTGGGATAAGGTCGTTGCTGTGATATTTTTTTGCGTTTGCGTTGGTTTTTCTAAATTAATCATTAATTATATGAGACGAATAGCAATGCTTTTGGGACCAGATAGTTAAGGTTCAAATCCTGTGTAGGGTAGTTATTTTTACAGGTTATACTATAATTTATCTCTGGTATCTAATACACAGCCCTAAGAAAGTAAAAGAAAGAGGACGAAAGGAGATTAAATAATTAAAGTATCAAATCAATCAAATATTCTTTATTGCACACAATTATTTTACATACCATAGTTGAAACAGATTAAAGAGAAATAGTACTATAGGCGGCTTTATCTCTAGAGAGCGATATATTCTGGGCAACCTTTATGTAGAGAGAGAGAGAGAGGAAGTTGTACAAACAATCTTAAGGAGATGTACAAATAAATACATACATCGACAACATATATATACATACATATACACATATATTGACACATACATACCTACAAACATACATATATACACAGTCGCATATACACGTTATACATATAAAATATGACACCATTTAGCACTTTATAGGTTAAGATAGTATTATTTATTTTATTTTACAGATGGGCAATTTGGATAGTAAAGGAGTGAATATGGAGGGAAGAAGAGTGTGAAGGAATCTGTAAAATTAGATTTAGATTAGAACGAAGAGGAAATTTGTGGGAATTACTTAAAATTTTTAAACTATCTTTAAGATACTGTACAATACTAGATTAAATAGAATATTGTATAAAAGACAAAGAACGTGAGTATTTCTGCAAAGACGGATAGGGAGCCACTTTAGTTTTTTACGAAATTCGGAACGGTGTCATATTTACATAGTCCAAATATGAATCGAATGCTGAGATTTTGAATTCGCTCAAGTTCATTTAATTAGTAAAATATTGTTTTTTGTATTAGTTAGTAAAGTATTAAGTAACATTATAGGCATCTCTTGTTTGTGTGAGGCAATATTTGTTCGAATTTTTTATTTATATAGTTGAATAAAAATAAAATCATTACAGGATATTATTAAAAAATATATATTTCTTAATTAGTACTTCACCATACATTGTTTGTAATTTGCTTAATTTAGAGATTAAATGCTCATAGGAAACTATTTAAACCTGTGCAAATGCACAAATTCAAGTCATAGGTTTGATTCTCAATTATTCAAAATACGTAATATTTATATTAGTATAGTTTTTAGGCATAATATAAAAATGTATTCTAAATGTTTTAAATTATTACTGTTCATTTCTTAAAAACAACTAATGGTATTACAATGCGATAAACATAAATGTATACATTGTCCATACAAAGTTGGCCTAACAACTTAATCGCGCAGATACTAAAGACTTCAACGCGCTGTTGAGTTTGTGCTACATATTTTGTAAATTATCTAGGAAGTTTATAAATGATATATTTTTCAAATATTGTTTATGCTTGCACTCATATAAATTTATATATTAGTATGTATGTATGATCCACTATGGCTTCCCTCAGGTGCGTTTTTAAATTGACACCTTTTCTGATATGGCCATAACGTAATCTATATATACTAATATTATTAAGTGGTAAAGTTTGTGAGATTGTGAGTTTGTGACGTTGCAGGAGGTAATCTACTGAACCAATTTAGATGAAATTTGGTAAGAAGATAGTTTGAGACCCTGGGAAGGGCATAGGATACTTTTTATTCCGTAAATCATTCCTTAAGGGTGTTAAAATGGGGATGAAAGTTTGTATGGGGAATCAACCTAGTCTTTTATAATTATGTTTGCGATAGAAATGTATTTTGTCGGAGATAGTCGATGCACCGTTTGAAAAATATTTATTTCAATGAAATTAGCTTAAAAAGTAATTTATATTAGTTATTATAATGTGAAAATCTGTAGACAGACAAGAGTTACTTTCGCATTTAAATTATTATGAGGGATATGCAGATATTGATAAATTTATTGGAATACATAAATACATTCTTTTTTATCAAATGCCTCTCCAGTATTGAAGATCGGCAGTCATCCTGCTAAATTATTCTTTGTTCAGGGCTACACAGTTTAGTAATATCAGATTTCATACTTTGCTTTTCATATATCCCGGAAAAAGTTCGAGTCTTTTGCATTATTTTGATTACTTTTTTATCAAACCGAACCAGTGTGAATAGATATTAATTGTTGTTCATCATTGATATTAGTGGCACTGAACCCATGACCAGAGCGTTCCTACACTATGATTGATTGATTGAGAATATAGAAATAGCTTCTAGAACTAGATCTTTATTTATACAAAAGTAATATGTGAGTCAACCAGTAAAAGAATTCCACTCTACTTTTTGCGCCTTCTGGGTCAAACATTATTATTATTGGGATTTTTACATAATTTACTTAAGTAAGCATACTAAATAAAGTAAATGACGTAAAAATTACAAAGTAAAAATTTTCAATTCAAGCAGATTTAAATAAAAATCATAAATTAATATACTTTACATACATATATTGAAATTATTTATTTCATTAAAAGTAAGTGGCACATCTGTCCTGACCACAAACTACTAGATTCGTTTTGCGCAACAAATGCATTCAATTAAATAAGATGCTGCATGTAAGAGTACGTTCTAATCTCATTACATTGTATTATGCAATATTTTAGTACATCTATTTTTGATGTTATGAACTTCTGTTACACAAGATTTCGATAAAGTATTATGTTCTATTATGTGTTATTATTCATTCTGAGAGAATGGTTGGCCATTATCTAAGCTAAGGTTTTGCTTAGAACGAATTTATGTATATTTTATACAGTATTATATATATTATATATTCGACGACACGTTTGGCTCAGTTTGTAGTGATACAACTTGCTGTGTCAGCGGTCGCGGGTTTTAGTCCCGCTGGGGGCATTAGTGCTTAAATTTGTGGATGCTTATATTTATATTATGTATGTACTTAAAGTTATATATGTGTAGTGTATCAACTATTCATAAAACAAGCTTACCATGGAACTAAATGGTGCTGCGTGTTAATCTCTCAACATATTAATGTATGTATATTTTATATATGTACTATATACTCTAAAATATTAAAATTCAATAAATGAATGAATGAAATATGTTTTATAATATACCGAATAAACAAACCATTGAGACAGTATATAATAAATAGAATAAAAAAATAAATTAAACGTGTTAGTATAAAAAGAAAAGATTTATAGATAATTTTTTATAAATTTATATATACATAATATATATTAATAAGCACTTTGAAAATGTCAATAAATTAATCTCTTCGTATTACTAACGAGAGGTCATTCGATGAACGTGATCCGTTCACTTCTTTAAATGCCTTTCCATTACTGACGACCGGCAGTCATCCTCCAAAAATTTTCTTTGTTTAGAGCTAGCCTGATAGGTTTTTACCCTGATAGGTTGAGGTAGTGTTTATTTCGGTTCATTTCCGGATATTTCAGAGCCGGGACATCTTCCTTCTATCATACTTCTCTTACCCGCAACTTTATCCATCATAATAGTCTGCAGCAGTTGGTAACGTACATGCCTTATCATGTGTCCTAGATATGCAAAATTCACTGTAAAAGGTTTTGTGTCGAAGAGTGTGCGAGTATTTTTTAAAGAGTTCAAAAAATGTTTTTTGTGTAGACGAACGAGTCTGATACAATTGTCATGGTTCCCTATTTTACCCGACTTCCAAAAAGAAGGAGGTTATCAATTCGTCGGTTTTTTTTTAATGTATGCTCACCGATTACTCAGAGACGCCTGAACCGATTTGGAAATATATATTTTTTCAAAGGGACGTCCGATAATATTTTAAGACATGAATATCTGATAGGTAAATATGTATTTTACGTACCTAAATATATTAGATTTGCTTTGCATCGGCTGGCACCGACTTCGAAAATATCTGGTTAGGTATCTATTCTAAATGAAAAATCCCGTTTAGTTATTTTTTACATTTTAGTGCCTGGAAGTCGTGTTTTTTTTAAGTTTTTTTTTAACGTTATTTGTTACGTATATTTTTTAATTATTGTATGTAATAATTACATTTAAAAGAAAAAGTCATATAGCAATAATTTATTCAAACTCGTACAATGTGCTTATAAACATATTGAAATAAAAATATAATTTTGTAGTCAATTTATGTTTAAGCTGGAGTACAGTAATTTTGTGTGTCGAAATATTGCAGCTCTCAAATCGAGGTCAGAGAATGCATTATGACTAAGTCATTGAATCTAATGTTACAATTAATATTTAGTATTATTTTTTAAGTATTATGTTAGTTTAATGTATATTCGTGTCTTCTGATAGTCATTAGAGTATCCTATTGGTTGCTTTATTTAACACATAGATCTATAGTATTATAAACATTCACACAGCTTATTTAGTGTGAGTAAATGTTTATAAAATGAGGGATTGAAATGTATATAGGAATAGCGACTCATCCTCGCTCCGTTCGGGTTCGTCCCTACTTATATTTTAATATTTGGTGTAGATTTCTCAGAGATGAGATATTTTCCCGCAGTTAAAAGTATTCTATATGTTCACCCGGATAACCAGCTATCATCATACCAAATTTCATCAAAATCTGTTTAGGTTTTCTTGTGATGCGTTCCCAGACAGACAGACAGACAGCGAAACAAAAAATCTAAATATTATAGATTCGGCCTCTGTGTAATGATTATTTCAATTAGGTTTTCCAAAAAAAAATTAATATAAAGATTCTCTACTACTCAGTTCGAATTTTATTATATGTATAGATGTACAGAAAGATATATAAACTTATTTGTCCACTTAAAATTGAAATAAAAACTACTTTATG